TTCAAAGAGCTGTAAAATAATTAACATTCCTTTCATTCACATGCCGAAGAATAAAAATTAAAAATTAGAAATAGTTCTGAGTTTGTTTATCGAAACGAAAGCCACTTTTTTTATTTTAAAATTAATTAGTAATAGAGAATAGATTTTAAAAGCACTTTTTTTTTTTACAAAAATAAAGGATAAAATCCTTCAAATTTAAGAACATCATACAATAAGACATTTTTCCTCCGTATTAAAATCTAAGTAAATTTAGTTGAGCCACTTGTTTGTCAGAGAAGGTTCTTTCGGGGAGGTGTGAAAGGGGACTCTAAGATATTTTGGATTAAGTGGTTAGATACTTACAAGTCTAAGAAGAATGATGGATTTGGAGTAAAAGATCTTTGGCTAGTTAACCTTTCTCTCTTAACCAAGTGGAGATGACGTCTTCTTTCGGAAGCTTCTGGTCTTTGATTTGATATCCTTTCTACCATGTATGGATCCTCACGTGTCTCCTTTTAGAGCGGAGGGTGGTATTTAGGGGTTAGCTCTATTTACTCATGGTGGAAAGGAGTGTTTCTTCTTGGATTCAAAAAATATGACTCTCCTAATGGGTTTGAGGTAGGTTTGACCAAGAAGCTAGGGTCAAGTCTTTTGACTTCTTTTTGGGGAGACCCTTGGATAAGAAGTATACACTTAAAGGTTAGATTTTCAAGACTTTTCACCATTTCCCAACTTGAAGATAAGACTCACCATCTCCCAACTTCAAGATAAGGTTGTAGATGAGATGGGGAGGTAGAAAGTGGGGATGATTTCTTGGAATCTTAGATGGATTAAATCTTTCTTTGTTTATGAAGATCCTTTAGTCTATGAGTTCTTCTTGGTTTTTCAAGAGTTTCACTTTAGTGAGGAGAGTGATATGTGGTTTTGGATTCACTCGTTAGATGTGCTTTTCTCTATGCCTCCAGCTTATAAAGTCCAACAAGGCCTCAATTTCATCTCTAAGACTTATCAAACAAATGTGAATCTATCTTTTCCCTTGGTTTGGGATAGTTGGGCTCCCTCTAAGGTGGTTGTTTTTTCCTACCAACTTCTGTAAGATAGGTCTCTGTTCAGGGAAAACCTATTCAAGTGGAAATTCATTATATATCCGGAGAGGATCTCCTATGTCTTATGTAGGAAATAGACAAAGTCAACCTCTCATCTATTTTTTACCAGTTTAGCCTCCAGTGTATGATACAAGTTTTTTAGGTGGTTTGGGGTGCATTTGGTTCTTCCTAGAAAGATTATGTGTGTTTTTGAGTTTTTATTTTCTTTAGGAGCTATATCTAAGTTAACTAGTGGATTTTTTATGATCTAACTTGTTGTGGTATAATCCATTTGTTCTGTTCATAATGATAAGTTTTTATTCTAGTTCCTCATCAAATGTGTAAAAGGTGGATGATAAAAGTATTTTTTTGCTTGAAATTGGTTTCTTAATAAGTCACACTTGAACACATGATATTTTTCTGATTACCTTCAGAAACATATTCCGTGTTTGAACCAATATCAAATTAAAAGTTTTGACTTGTCCTAAAGGTGTTCAGATGTTTTTTGGTGTTGCAAGTCGCTACTAGCCTATTCATGGTGGGTCTAGTGGTCTGGTCTCTAGCTAGATTTTTGTTGGTGGTGCTTCACATAGTGGGTTCTTTTAGGGTTTTTCGCGCCTTGCTTTTGGCTTCCTATTCTTTGTTGTGAGGTTATGTTCGCTTTGGTTTTATTGTTTTTCCATTTTTATATTGTTTCTTTGGTACTTCTTATACTTTTTTTTACTTTGATCTTTTGTATGTTGTTGAGTTTTTCCTTTATTTTGATATATATATATATATATATATATATATATATATATATATATATATATATATATATATATATATATATATATATATATATATATATATATATATATATATATATATATATATATATATATATATATATATATATAAAATTTAATTAAAATAAAAATTCATTGCTTATGGTAATGTGTCATACCCTAATTTTTACCCCTAAGATTACATATATAACATCACTTGCACTTCATCAAAGTCACATGCATGGTAGCCTCTCAACCTCCTATCTTTGGGTTTGTTATGTGAGAGATCACTAAGCACCTTTGTTTTTTTTCTTTTACTTTATGATTAATCATTTTATGCTTTACTAACCTTAACCAAAATACAAAAATATGCTTTGTTCTTTATTTATTTTACAAGGTAGGATTTTGAATAAAGAAGATCAAGTGTGGTTATCCAATTAGGGTTTTGAATCCTCAAGGTAAAAAATTGTCAACCATTGTTTCTCAAAGGCTTATTCATCAAGGCACGACCTATAATATTAGGTCACTTGTTCCTCAAGCTTCATTTTACACCATTTGATAAAAAGAAGTTCAAGTTTGATTGCTTATTTTTCATGTCATTTCAAGTAGGTTCAAGTGTTTATTTTCATGACTTCTTTATTAAGTTTTCTCAATATTTTGTTAATATTTATCAAAGAACAATCAAGGATAATGCATTTAGAGTTTATATGTTTAACAATGTGCATTGGATTGCAAGAAGAATCCTAAAAGTTGTAAGTTGGTTCAAGTTGTTTTGACCTAAAAAATCAAGTTTATCATGCCTTGGTCAAAATATCATAACTTCTTCATACTTCAACATTTTTGAGTGGTTCTTTTAGAAAAAATTTTCATTTTGATGTCCCCTAAAACTTCTCTTCACAAGTCAAAGTCCAATTATGCTCCTAAGATTCTCAAAGATTCAGATCAATTATAGGTCATTTTGTGGACTTAGAGAAATTTGACCTAAAGGTCAAGTATGGCATGCCTATGTTACAAAGACCACAACTCCTTCAATTTTAAACTTTTATGGGCGGTTAATTTTTCCAAATATCCCTTTTGATGTCCTCTACAAATTTCATTTAGAGGTCAAACATCAATTATGCCTCTAAGGACTTCAAATCACGAAGGACATATCTGCACAAAGTGAGTTCATAACATGTTTAACCTAATGTCAGACCATTTTTCAGTGGTTTTTCTTCAACTTTACGAGCTTTTCCATTTTCTCATCAAGAATCCAATTGAGTTGGTTCTTTTTGCATTGTCTTCCTTTTCATGAAAGTAACATTTGGCTCAAGAAAGATCACAAAACTCCCGAGGGAATTTTATTTGGCCTAAGGGTGAACATGGTGACTTGAACTCTGTTTGAACCATGACCTATAATTTTAGAAAGCATGTGCAAACTTAACTTGGGGCCACTTAATCATGTGCACATTTGTTTGTGATGACAAAACGCATTTCACCTAGTGCAAAATGATCTAAATGAGTGTTATACCTTAATTTTTGCCCCTAAGATCCCCCATCATTTTATATATTTAAAATGCATCAAGATCACACCTTTGGGCTGGGTATCACTTCTACTTTCTCCTCTCTTAAAGTTTTTCCTTGAGGGATCACCAAGTAACCTTAAATTGTGTATCTTATATATGTTTGTTTCATGATTACTAACCCTTAACCAAAATCCAAAAAATGTTTCTTGTTCTCTTTATGTTTTGTATACTGTAGGCATTGATACAAGGGTATTCATCCCACCTCATAAGCCAGGGTTTGAGCTATCTCAGTGTGATTTGGTTATAATTAGGGTTTGTGACTTTCAAGGTTGATTCCATGTATTCTACTGAGTTTAAGGTGTGGGTTATGACTGTCATTGACTAGATAATTGGGTGGACAAGTTGAATCACGAGACATAGTCAAAAGGATTCCAAGTTATTGAGTTTGATAGAAAAAGTCAACAAGAAGTCAAAGATCAGAGGTTGACCAAAGAGAATTTTTGGTCAACATTGAAGTCAAAGTTCAAATGATAAAGAAATGTGATCATCGGTTGAAGAAAGTCAAAAGAAATAGTCAAAATGGAGATTACTTGTAAAAGAAGTCACCCTTGAAACTTAGAAATATTTTCTAAGTATGAGATATGTGTTCATTTTGCCATTACTCATGATGTATATTTTTCACACTTGCGATCAAAAATTTGCAAACTCATGTTTAAATGAAAGAGGAAGTTTGATACTACAATTTTGTCCTTGAGAGTTCATCTCCAAAAATCCCATGGATTGAGAACTATTTGAGTAAGAAGATTAATGTTCATTCAGAATTGGACGTTTTGGTACTTAGAGAAAATTTGAGAATTTTCAATCAGCTCCATCATCATGTTTTGCAAGCTACTTATCTCTATGATCCAAGCACCATTTGATTTTGAGATCAACACCAAAGTTATTGTCCTTTTTTAAGCTTTGCATGAGGCTCAAGAATTCATCATCTGGTGCATTAGAACTCAAGATATGTGTTTCAAAGACAATGTCATCTTAAGGTTAAATCGATTCTAACTTAGAGATTTTTCTAAGTCATTTGGTGAGTTTCATATGTAGGACTTCTAAGGAAATTCTCTTAGAGATTTGAGCTTTATTCCAAGATGCAATCAACATAGAAGTTGTAGTTTGACCTACCACCTTTACATTAATCCAATAAACTTACCCTTTGGTTCACTATATCTAAAACTATGCTCATTTAAAGTCAAGATGTTAGGTGATTTGATTTGGTAAACACTTAGAATTTTTCCAAGTGTTTTTGATCAGTTTTATTGACCAACTTTCAAGGGTAAATTCCATGGTGTTTAAGGCTTCCTTTCAAAATTTTTTCAACACTACAAATGTGCTCCTTGTCATGTCCTTTTTCTCTTGATCCCAAGTTTTTGACTTTTGAGCAAGAATTCATTAATTTATGGTCAAGGGAAGGTTCATAAAAAAACACGGGTTCATATTTGTCACAACATTTCCATTTTGTTCATTCAAAGGTTATGGGCCATTATTTTTGTTCTAGCATCAGGTCTACATGCATTACACCCTTTTTGTTTACTCTAAAAAAGCCACACAACTTACAACCTCATGCATATACTATTTCTTTCTTTTTGCCACAAGAAGTAAGAAAGGTGAAGTCACAAAAACTCTCCCCCCACTCTCTCACACGCCAACCTTGCACATGCTTTTGTCACACTATTTCTACCCACCAAAACAACACAATAACACCAGCAATACAACCTAAAACAAAAAGCTCCACTCAACATCTCATTTTTCTGTTTTCACCTTTTTTTCCCTCACAAACTTATCCTCCACTCTACCCCACTCACATTCTCTATAAAAGCTCTTTCTCACCCTCACAAACGTCACACACGCATTTTGGGAAGCAAGATACAAATATGAAGCTAACAAATTCCTTAAGAAATTCTCTCGATAAAGCTTTATTTTCTTTATCTCTTTTCTTTCATCAATCACTGAAGTTCTCCTCCGCATCTTCTTCTTCATCTCTGCATCAAGAAAAGGTAGTAGACCATCTATACTTGGTAAACTTACTACAAACTCTTCCTCCTCTCATGCTTAGATCTAAATTATGTAGGATACGATGAATATGTCATACACATTGCATCTGGAAAGTATGAAATGATGGCATTGTTTGATTTGTTTAAATTTGTGATGTTTTTGAATGTTTGAACTCAGTTTCATATACATGCTTTCAGATCCATTTATCTCTATGTTTAAGTGCTTGTTTTGAAAAACTAATGGTACAATGTTGATTTACTCCTGAAATGCTTTAGTATAATGACTTAGTTTTCTCAATTTGATGTTGATTTGAGAAAGAAAAATGAGAACGAAAATGGCAATTTATCACGATTTTTGGGTTTGCTGCTAGTTTTATTGTGATTGCACGAAGAAGACGACTGCGTGTTGTAACACCCCAAAATTCTTAATTACTTATTTAATTAATTAATTATGATTATTTATGAATTATTGATGAATATATAATGTTTTGTTGAGTATGATGTGTGATATGCTGATATGTTGTGGGATAATGGGAATTTAGATGAGTAAGGAGTATTCTAGTAATTGGACAATTAGTTAAAAATTATTTAAAATTTGTTAGAAATATTATTAATAATAAAATAGAGGAATAATTGATGTAGAGAAGATAAGGGCAAGATGGTATTTGGTGAAATGCTAAGTGAGGATAAGTTGGGAAAAATATATTAGGGGTCCAAAGGTTAAATAAGGAATAAGGGAAAATATTGCATTTGGTACGATCGTGAAAATATTGGAAGAGTATAGGAGAAAGTTAGGACACGAAGAACACAGAGGAATTTCGGCAGATTGTGAAGAGAAGAGATCCAAGCTTGGAATTTAAGGTAGGGGTGATATGCCATTATAATTGATATTGGGTTTAGAGGTATGTAGGGATTTGTTGGGGTTTTGATAATTTGATGATATGTTGTATTATGATGAAATTGATGGAAATAACATGTTGATTTGCCATGAAATTGTATATATAATGCCTATAAATTCGTGTGGTTATTGTACGATGATTCTATGTTGAAAAATATGAAAATATGGACTATATTCGGATGAAATTGCAAGAGGAATTGGGGTTGAACAAGTGCAAAATCGCAACAGGAAGTTGTTGTCTACTACACGTCACCAGGCGAAGGGATGCGTCGCCGGGTGAGGCAACAACCCCGTGCGAGTAGATGGGCGAAGGAAGGGATGAAGAAGTGGTGATACTGGACTATCTTGCTCCCACCATCGCTAGGCGATGCAGAAGCGAGAGGTGTGTCACCAGGCGAGTAAGGGGTTTCGACGGGGGATAGAGACCAGAGGAGAATGATGTTATTGTCGCTCCCACGTCGGTGGGCGAGCCTAAGGCGAGCAGATTGCTTTGCCGGGCGAGCACTAAGCGATGTACAGCAGTAGAATTTTTAAAGGGCCGTAATTTGAGTTTTAGAACTCTGTTTGAGGCGCCGTTTGAAGCATTGGATAACTAACATGATGAACTACAAGTGGGTGGAATAAAATGAGTAAAAATATGTATATTCCCAGTACCTATACTAAGGTAGAATTAGATTCTTAAAGAGGTAGTCTATCATGATGTATGTTGTTATGATGAATTGTGAATACTATGATGGTAATAACTTGTGACTATGTTATATTGAATGTTGATGATTATTTCATGAATGATGATGTGATTTGACTAGCTGTAGTCGTTTGATATTCTGTTGTTATGTGTCATGCATTCATGGTATAGTTTGGACAACTTTGGTCCCCCCGTGTTGATTTAGGACGCTGGTCCAGTGTTGGCTTCAATCCCACTGTGTGGATTGAGCGTGTTGATGTTGTGCTCCAGTTCCAAGAGGGAATCGATCCTATGGTGGGGATCTTTGAAGGGTGATGAGTTTAGTACTCATAAAAAATTGATACCACATGCACGAGTCTATGTTATTGCATTACATCTTACGCGGCATTGAATAATTATTGACTATATGATGTTGTATATGTTGTTTTGCTAACTAACGATGTGTTGACAACGTTGTTGATTTTGATGCTATGATGTTGTTGTTTGAACTACTATGTTTATTCCGTATATCTTTTGTAATGAATGTGATTACTCAACCTTTCTATTTGAATATTGTCTCCACGTGGGTAACACGCAGGTGATCAGGAGTAGTTCGTAGGAGCTTAAAAGATAGCTTGGAGCGTGTTGTTTTATTTTTGTTGATTTTAGAAGGTCTTGCTCTGATACGTAACATCGGGGTCAGGAACATTTTATTTTGAACTTTATGTCCTTTATTTTATTAATCTTGAACTACTTTTCATGGTGTTTAAGTTGTTTAGAATTAAGAACCATGAACAATGAAGTTTTGATGATGTGTTTAATAAAGACGTTTTGAACTATGAATTCTGTTGCATAGTAAATGATTTATAATTGTTTGAAAACCTGTGTTATGGAGTAAGACATGCATGTGTGATGTTTTTTGAAGCATGTGACGCCCTTTTGGTGAAATACTCTGATTATTTATTTATATTATTCGTGGGGTTTTAGAAGGGTGTTACATTAGTGGTATGGAAACGGGTTGGTCCGTCTGACCAGGTTTTATATGATGTCTACCTCCTGTTGGTCGATTAGTACTTCAAGACTATTGATATGTTGACGTTTCTAATTTTGGTTGTCAGTGTGCATATTTATGGATGGAGGGAGAAATGATAATGCTATTGCTAACGCTCTGGAAGCCATGGCTCAAGCACTACAAAACTAGCATGGTCAGCAGAACTAGAATGGAGAAAATGATGATGAAGCTCGTTCACGGGGGGAGTTTTAGAGGAACAACCCTCCAATATACAAAGGCAAACACGATGCATATGGTGCGCAAGCATGGCTTAAGGGAATTGAAAATATTTTCCGGGTAATGGTCTGCATGAAAGATCAGAAGGTGCAGTTTAGCACACACATGTTGGAAGAAAAAGACGAGGACTGCTGGAATAATGTGCGCCATAGATTGGAGATTTTGTGCACAAAGATTACTTGGACTGTGTTTAGGACTGATTTTCTGGATAAGTACTTTCCGGAAGATGTGCATGGAAAGAATGAAATCGAGTTCCTTGAGCTAAAGCAAGGAAGTTCGACAGTTGTTGAGTATGCGGCTAGGTATGAGGAATTTGTGAAATTTTTTCCGCACTATAATGACCCAGCAGCTGAAGTGTCGAAGTGCATTAAATTTGAGAATGGACTATGCCCAGAGATCAAGCAGAGTATTAGATATCTGTAGATTCATCAGTTTCCTATGATGGTGAACAAATGTAGAATCTTAGATCAATATAGTAGAGACAAAGCTTCTTATTATAAGAACTATAATGAGAAGAAGGGAAAGAATCATGATTGTGGTAAACCGTATGCTTCTCCCTATGATAAAGGGAAAAATAAAGCTTATGATGAGAAGAAGCCAAGTGAGAGAGGAGCTCTCGCTTCTGTGAAATGCTATCGGTGTGGAGATTTAGGCCACTATGTTGATGCTTGCACTAATAAGGTGCTGAGATGTTACAGGTGTGACAAGGTTGGTCATCGCGTCAGTGAATGCAAGAGTGAAGGTCCTACTTGCTTTAACTATGGTGAACAGGGTCACATCATTACCCAGTGTCAGAAACCAAAGAAGAATGTTGTTGCTACTGCTCATACCAATGGCAAAGTGTTTTCTCGGAGTGGTTCATAAGTCAACAAGAAGGACAGCCTAATCATATGTACTTGTTTTATTAACAATGTTGAGTTAATCCCTATTATTGATACTAGTGCTACTCATTCGTTTATTTCGCTTGAATGTGCTACTATGTTGGAATTAAAGTTGTCTAATATAAATGAGGAAATGGTAGTAGAACTTCATGCTAAGGTTTTTGTTACTACTACACTCGTTTGCTCAAAGTGTCCTTTGACGATTTATGGTCGAAGTTTTATGATGGATTTGGTGTGTCTACCCTTACACCAAATTGATGTTATTATTGGAATGAACTGGTTGGAGTTCAACTATGTCCATATCAACTGTTATCATAAGATGGAGAGGTTTCCTAAGTTTGGTGATGGTGGGGAGCTTATGTTTTTATCTGCTAAGCAAGTATATGAACTTTTAGAGGATGAAGCGTTGATGTTTGCAATGTTTGTGTCGTTACAAGTTGATCGTGAGATTATAAGTGTGGAATTACTGGTTGTCTATGAATTTCTAGAAGTGTTTCCAGACGACATCAATGATTTTCCTCTAGAATAAGAAGTTGAATTTGCTGTAGAATTGATACCAGGTACAAGTTCGATGTCGGTGGCTCCTTATAGGATGCCAGCTTCAGAGTTGAGCGAGTTGAAGAAACAATTATAATAATTGATAGAGAAGAAGTTCATTGAACCGAGCATCTCTCCGTGGGGTGCTCCAGTGTTGTTAGTCAAGAAAAAGGATGGTATTATGAGGCTGTGCATGGATTATAGACAATTAAATAAGGTAACCATTAAGAATAAGTATCCACTCCCGAGGATCGATGATTTGATGGATCAGTTGGTGGGTGCTTGTGTTTTCAGCAAGATTGATTTGAGGTCGGGTTATCACTAAATTCATGTTAAACCAGATGATATTCTGAAGACGGCTTTTCGAATGAGGTACGGTCATTACGAATATAATGTAATATTGTTTAATGTATCTAATGTGCCAGGGGTTTTCATGGAATACATGAACCATATTTTTCGAAGTATTTGGACAAGTTTGTGGTGGTTTTCATTGACGAAATTTTAATTTATTCTAAATCAGAAGAAGAGCATGCTAAGCATTTGCGAACTGTGTTGCAATTGTTGAAAGAGAAGAAGTTGTATGCAAAACGGTCGAAGTGCGAATTTTGGTTGAAGGAAGTGAGTTTCCTTGACCATGTGATTTCTAGTGGTGGGATGGTTGTAGACCCTTATAAAGTCGATGATGTGTTATAATGGGAGACTCCAAAGTCTGCGACCGAGATTCAAAGTTTTCTTGGTTTATATGGATATTATCAAAGGTTTATTGAGGGATTTTCTAAGTTGGCATTACCATTAACTCAATTGATTCGAAAGGGTCAAGCTTATGCGTGGGATGTTTCGTGTGAGGAAAGTTTTTTAGAACTGAAGAAGAAGTTAACGACTCCTCCGATGTTGATTTTGCCTAATCCAAATGAATCTTTCGTGGTTTATTGTGATGAATTTAAATTGGGTCTTGGTGGCATATTAATGCAAAATGAGCAGGTTGTTGATTATGCTTCTAGGTAATTGAAAGTGCATGAGAGGAATTATCCTACGCATGACTTAGAACTAGAAGCAATGGTGTTTATGCTAAAAATTTGGAGACATTATCTTTTTGGCTCCAAATTTGGAGACAAAAATGCATGAAATCAATACACTTCGCACACTTGCACCTCTAGGGTAACCCATACTTGTTTCCTCGAATAAAACATTCATATCCCTTGAACGTAGGATACTTTAGCAATGACCCTCGAATACAAGATCCTAGTCCCTCGATGACCCTTCAATGTTGCCTTCGGTAAACGATCTTAGACCCTCAAAACAATTGCTAAGGTATCCTACAATGTTGCCTTCTATGAATGTACGAAGACCCAGGCCCGTCCCTTCACATCCAATGATATGGCTTCTTATCAATCAATGATAAGATAGCAATATCTAAAGGAGGAGGAAAAGAACTAAGACTTTTTGAGTAGGTAGAACGCTCGTAGTTGCTTTCTCACAACATTTCAAAACATCTTTCAAAAACACCAACATTTTTTCCATGAAATATTTTCAAAAGTCAACACTTTGAATACATTTTTATAGAGACGAGAATCATTATAAAGTTCACCTAAACAAAGGCACTTTCTAAAATACTTTCAAAAACATCACAAACACATTTCAAACAAAGCATTTCAAAGTGCGCTAGCAACGAAGATCCCGTAGATAACTACAGATGAAAAGGGTGCTAATACCCTCCCTTTTCATAACCTACCCCCCGAACTCAAGAAAATATCCCAAAAGGTCTTTCCTGTTCTTTTCAACCTCTCTTTTATTGGATAAAAGAAAAGTCAGTGACAACTCTTGCTATCCGCAACAATTGCGATAAAACGCAAAACACCCAAGTCAGTTCTCCCACCGTATCACATATGGCAAGATATTAAATCAAACAATAGAAAACCTTAATTCAATACAAATTACATGAAAACAATACAATTCACACACTTGCACCTCTAGGGTTAACCCACACTTGTCGCCTCGAATAAAAATATCATGTCCCTCAAACGAGGGATACTTTAGCAATGGCCCTCGAATACAAGATCGTAGTCCCTCGATGACCTTTCAATGTTGCCTTCGGTAAACAATCTTAGAACCTCATAACAAATTTCTAAGGTATCCTACAATATTGCCTTCTATGACTGTACAACGACCCATGCTCGTCCCTTCACATCCAATGATAGGGCTTCTTATCAATCGATGATAAGATAGCAATATCTAAAGGAGGAGGAAAAGAACTAAGACTTTTTAGTAGGTAGAACGCTCGTAGTTACTTGCTCACAACATTTCAAAACATCTTTCAAAAGCACCAACATTTTTTCCATGAAATATTTTCAAAAGTCAACACTTTGTATATATTCTTATAGAGACGAGAATCATTACAAACAAAGTTCGCCTAAACAAAGGCACTTTCTAAAATACTTTCAAAAACATCACAAACACATTTCAAACAAAGCATTTCAAAGTGAGCTAGCAACTAAGAGCCCGTAGATAACTACGGATGAAAAGGGTTCTAACACATTCCCTTTTCATAACCTACCCCCCGAACTCAAGAAAATATCTTAAAAGGTCTTTCCCGTTCTTTTCACCCTTTCCTTTATTGGATAAAAGAAAAGTCGGTGGCGAATCTTGCTATCCGCAATAATTGTGATAAAATGCAAAACACCCAAGTCAGTTCTCCCACCGTATCACAGAAATGGAAACCCTGCTGGGGAGATACTTCAAAGTTGGTTTACCTTAGAGACTAGATCACCTTTAAATGCTTTCATTGTTTGACTTGTTTGCTTTACATTTTGGATCCTTGTTTGGGTTTTGTATTGATCCTCTACCCAGATCGAGGAACATTATTAGGTAAGTAGCAAAAGATCGTGGGGACTGTGCGGGGTATACTGACATGGTTGAAGTGATGGCTACATTAGTGTGACACATTTGTTTGTACCGGTATCTCTTGAGTCAAGTCAAGGAGAATATGGGGCCGTGTGTGGTGTCATGAAGCACTAACTGGCCGTAGAAACTTTAATTGAACAACTTGGACATTAGGAAGTAGTGAGATAGCCGACTTTGGTGCAGTCTGAAGTTGATTGATACTCGATACTACGCTCATTGAGATTGGACTTTCAGGATATTTTGGTTACCAAAACATAGGCTCGCGCTGAAACAATGCCCGATGAAGAAAGATCAATGATATTGAGATTCCCTAGAACCCAGTTACTTTTTAGGACAAGTTTAACCAACTAAACTTCAAGAGGGTAATCACCTATAAACCCCATGCAAGCCTAAACCTAAGGACTTGTTTGTGTGCTTGTATATGATTATTTGTACATAACATCATGACATCATACCATAGCATTTTCACTAACAATTTCAAGGACCTAGAGATTTATCTTTGTTTTGTTTTGTAAGACATGGCTTCCACTCGCAAGAATACTATCTAAATCAACCTCGTAAGAGTGCCTCCTCAACTTAAAGAGTTAGCGTCAAGGGTTCTTGAGAATTCTCCATTCACCAAGAGACACAGTCGACTTCTCAATCTGGTTACCTCAAGCCTTGATGAAGACATGATGAAAGTTCTCTTTCAGTTCTTTGACCCTTTACACCATTGCTTTACATTTCCTGATTACCAATAAGGGTCCATCATGGAGGAGTTTTTTCAACTCTTGGGAGTGCCTATTCTTGATCAATTACCCTTCACCGATATTGAGAAAGACTCAATACCTGAGGAGATTTCTCTAGCTTTACATTTTCAACGATCCGACGTTGTGGAAAATTGGGAAACAAGAAGTTATGTTAAGGGTTTTCTAGCCAAGTTTCTGTTTGAGAAGGCTTAACAATTTTGGGATGCTTTAGATTTACAAGCTTTCGAAGAGGTATTGGCCCTTCTAATTTATGGGATGGTACTTTTTCCTAACCCGGACCAACTCATAGATGTGAATACGGTCAAAGTTTTTCTATCTTATAACCTGGTGCCTACCTTACTCGGAGACATCTTGCATTCTCTTCATGCTCGTACCATGAAGAGAAGGGGGATTCTTATCTGTTGCACTCCTCTGTTGGCTAGGTGGTTTATTTAGCACCTTCCTCGATCTATTTTGAAGAACGAACATGGAATGGGACGGTCTAATAAATTAATGTCACTCTCGCATTCAGATATTCATTGGTGTTCTCGATCTTTAGAGGATGTTATCATTATTGATCATTGTGGGGAATTCCCTAATGTCCCTCTCCTTGGAATTAGGGGAGGTATAATTTATAATCCTTGCTTAGCTTTACGACAGTTTTGGTATGCTCAGAGGGATGGCCCTCCTGACGCGCTTATCCAAGGAATCGTATTTGACTATAAGAACGATGTCCAAGGTTATTGTCAAAGATTTGTATGAGATTGGGGCATGGTGAACAAAGTTAATAGCAAGACGTTGGGGCATAAGAACTCTATTCCTTTGGATCCTTATCTCAAGTGGGTGTGAGCTCACGCTCAAAACCTCATGATGCCATATGAGGCCATCCTACCTATCATCATAAAGCCTATTGCCGAAGGAGATGTTCCATACACTATTCTTCATCCTAACATGCCTACTACTCTTGAGGAGTTGTAAAGATCATGGATTAAACTAAAAGGGGAGCGGGACACCTTCGAAGCCCAATTCTACTCAAGCAAGAAGAATGTGTTGGAGCTCACAAGGTAACTTCACGAGGAGCGGAACCTGAATGCCTATATTAGTCCAAAGAGGAAGCATCCATAGGAGACCTGCGCCTTTTTGTATTAGTTCATTTTGTTTGTTTTTCTTTCATTGTAAGCCCAAGAGGCATTTTTTGTAACCATTTGAACTTATTAATACAATTAATGTTTGTTCCTTCTTTGTTTAAACAGATTTAAATCTTAAAGGTCCTTGAAAACATTTGCATTCACATTACATGCATCATAACATAAGAAGGTTTTCTGACACAGGTTTCCTCATCTTTCTACTGCTTATTTCAGTAAGATGGATCTCAAGCAGACTGTGAAGGACTTGCAGACACAAAATTCTCAATTTCAAGAAACCTTTCTCAACTTGGCCAAAGGGAAGCAAAAACTGATGACACTTCTGGTTGTAAAGAAGAAGACCAAGAAGAAGGCTTTGATCAACATGGGGAAGAGATTCAAGGGTCCCGTTTGACAAGTGCAAGTGGTAGAAGAGTCATCCGAGGAGGATGAGAATCAGGATGAAGATGCAAGGAGCACCCGTGATGGGGGTGCAAACAATCCAATCTCTGAGGATGAGGACTATTTTAATGAACAATATCCATCAGGTGAAGACAAGTATAAGTAACTGGAGGACAAATTGAATGATATGGAAATTAAAGTTATGCCTGGCCTAGATTTTGGTGATTTGGGTTTTGGTTCTTGGGATAGAAATCCCCCACAAATTCAAGATTCCAATTTTTTCCAAGTACGATGGCATTTCGTGCCCGAAGCTTCACTTAAGATATTACGTTTGTAAAATTCAACCGCATACCACTGATAAGAAGTTATGGGTGCACTTCTTTCAAGAGAGTCTGTCTGGGACTCAATTGGAGTGGTTTTACCAGTTAGAAGGTTCCAACATCCATACCTGGGAGAACTTAGCCACCGCTTTCTACCGTCAATATCAGTATAATGCCGATCTGGCGCCAACTAGAGTGCAGTTACAAGGAATGACCATGGGTTCCAATGAAGGCTTCACAGAATATGCACAAAAATGGAGAGACCTGGCGAGCAGGGTGCAGCCACCATTGAATGACATGGAATTGGTAGATATGTTCATGGGAACATTGAATGGGCCATTTTTCAACTTACTAATCGGGAGCTCATCATCTGGTTTCACTGAGTTAATCTTGACTGGTGAAAGGGTCGAGAGCGGTATTAAAAGTGGAAAGATTCCCATGGCCTCTGCCTCTACATCAAATACTATGAAGAAACCTTTTACCGATAAAAAAGAAACTAATGTCGTGTATGGGTCAAGGGGCCATATCAAGAAGGGCCATCATCAATCTGTAAGTACAGTTCTAATCTCCAATCTAACCTATACTCAAAGACCACAACAAGCTAATTAACAAAGACCTAATATTCCAAGGAGATAATTTATAAGGATCAACATGTCACTATCTCAAGACCTACAACACTTGTTGAAGGCTAATTTGGTAACATTGCGTGACCCCCTTCAAATCCCAATGTTTCATCTCCAAAGTATAACCCGGACACCAAATGTTTTTACAACTCCAATAGTCCCAGGCATGACACTGATCATTGTTGGGTATTAAAATGCAAGATCCAATACCTCATTAACAACAAGACCATTAAATTTGATCCTTCTCCAACTCCGAATGTAATCACCGCACCTATGCCAAACCATGGCAAAGGTGTCAATACTATTGAAGAGACTGCTTTTATTTCCTCTATTAATGACTTGGCCACTCCGCTAAAGTTTGTTAAAAACAATTTGTTGAAAGATGGGGTTTTCCCTGGTTGCCTTGAAGATTGTTATTGTTGTGTTGTGAAAATCAATGGATGTGAATAGATGAAAAGAGGTGTCCAACACCTAATGGACAACCATGAGATCCTATTCAAAAGAACTCCATCTGTAAAAAGTTTGACTAAAGTTGTGCTTCAAGAAGTTGAAGACATATCCATCATCACTATCTCCAACAAACCTATTAGGATCACTTTAAAAGGTCCTATTAGGATTTCCAATGAACCGAAGATAGCTCCATTGATAATTACCACATCGGGGCCAGTCCCTTATTCTTCCGATAAGGCGATACCTTGGAATTATGGCGCTGAAGTATACTACCATGGTATTAGACAAGACTCATGGATTGATGAAGACAAGACTGTTGATATTACCAACATTGTTGGGTCTAGCAAGGTAACTAAAACAGGGAGAATTTTCACTCCTGATATTTCACCTCCAACCACCACAACTACACTTGTTTGCATTACTGTTGACAAACCTAGTACTGATGCTAGGGGCAAAGAAAATATGATTGAGCCTGCCAGGATGGAGGCTGTGATACGGTGGAAGAACTGACTATTTTTTGGAATGTTGGCTTGCGTTTTGCGTTTGTATTTGCAAAATGTCACGGTAAGCAAGAGTCGCCACTGACTTTTATTTTATCCAACAAGGAAAGGAAAAAAAGCACAGAAAAATTCCTTTTTTGAGATATTTCTGAGTACGGAGGGTAGATTTATAGAAAGGGAAGGTATTAGCACCCTTTCTATCCGTAGTTATCTACGGGCTCTTAGGTACTTGCTCATCATTTTCAAAATGTTTTCTTTGTGCTTGTGGGTTTTGAAAAGTTTTTGTTTTAACTTCGATTTAACTCTTGCTTCTGTCCTCAAGAGTGTAATGAAGTGTTTTTGAAAACTTGTTTGTAAAAGTGTAAGTATGAAAAAGTTTTGTTTTGGATGAGCAAGTATCTAAGAACTATCTACCTACTCGAAAAAGGAAACGTTCTATGCTAATTTCCTTTAGACAATGCTATCCCACTATTAATGAGTAGGTAGCACCGTCGTTGGAATTTGAGGGTCAATTCGAAAGAGGGACATACGGTCACTAAAGCAATGTTAGGACGCCTTAGAGGTAACCCTAGTGTCTTAGATCATTTATCCGAGGCAACGATATCCGAGGCAACCATTTTGAGGCAACTATGATCTTTTAGACAAGAGGGTGACCTCTAAAACAACCTATACTTAATGACCGTGTACGAAGGCAACCAAGTGGGGTGTACCCTAGGAGTGCGCATGTGCAAGTGTGTTGTTTTCAGTTATTTTTATCTTTGCACATGTTAAGGGTGATCTAATTTGATTTTAGATTAAGCATTCATTCTTGTCATGCAAACCCTATTATCAAACATCTAACAGTTGTATAATTTGCGGAATTAAAATGCGGAAATTAAATTACAAGGCGTCCGGTATTTACATCGTCAAAAGCAACCCTTTGAAAATAAAATAAAATAAAAGCATAAAAATAAATAAAATGTCCTAATTATTTATTACAAGCCAGGAGCAGATACATTAATTGAATAAAAAATAAAGCGCGACGCGAAATTAAATCGAATGTGAATTAGGGTTTTGACCCTTTTAAAAGAAAATGCTTTTTTGTTGTTTTTATTTTAAGAAAAGAAATTAATCCTAAAATTAAATACTAAATTAATTATTAAATTAATTAAATGAAAAAAATAATTAATGACATGTTTTTTTGGAGTTTTTGTTAATTTAAGAAAGAAATTAAAATAATTAAATTAGAATTAAAACCTAATGATTTCTAATTAATTTTAAATATTTGAAAAATAAATTAAGGTTATTCTAGAATTAAAAACCTAATTAATTAGTTAGTATTTATTAATAAAAAAGTTCTTGAATTTTAATTGGACAAAAAATGTTTTTTTGTGATTTTTTGATGAAAAAAGAAATTAATTTTATTGGTTAGTAAATTAATTAAACAAAATAAAATAAACTAAAATAAATAAAATATAAAGAAAAGGATAAGATGGGCCTGGTTTGGGTGTTTGAATAGCAATTTTGCTGGCCCATTAAGGCTGATCCATGTGAATTTTTCTGATCCAGTGCTCATGCGTTGACCTGCATATGGTGTGCCTCCAATTTTTGACCACCAGATCTGCCACTTGGCCACCTGGCATGCTGAGGAGTGAGGCGCATGGTGGACTATGGACTTGTGTGCACACTAGATCTCCTGAAAACAAATAAGAAAATGCAGTTTGCTGGAGGCAGGGATCGAACCCCTGACCTCCAGTCTTTGGATCCTTTAAGGCTTATGTGGCTACCACTGGAGCACTGGTGTTTACTTGTTATTATAATGCAAACAAAACATATTATATAAAAACAAAATCAACTTCCAGAAAGAAAAAAAAACGCGCCAAGATTTGAATGGGCGAATGGTAGCGTGACACACCTTCATCTCCTTCATTGAATCGTTGCTAAAAGTTCCAGGACCTATACCTACGGATAGAGGTCCGTCACTACAAACCAGACATCTCTAAAATTCTGTACAGGCCATGGAAATGAATTCTAGTACCATGGTTGAGTTCGTCATCCTCTTCTGATCATAACCATGGCCATCATGTGGGATAATTGTACCTGAAGCGAAAAACCCCAAAAACAAGAACAAAACCCTAATAATGGTGGATCTTGTTACAGGTCAAATAAACGAAATCAAGTAATACCAAAAGCTTGTAAATGATGTGGTGATCACAAATATGTAATTATTTTATACAATGGATGCAAGAATAGTGCAAATCGAATTCAAGAATATGGCGGATTCGTGAGGGACTTACAGTGCTCTGGGAAGCTGGAAAACGTTTTGTCTTGATTGGTTTCGCTTCTGGAGATGACCAGGAAGAG